AAGGGGGGCGGGGGGGGGGGGGGTGGAAGACGACCGACAATTTGGAAAAATTATTTATCGCGCAATTTTTGTTTCTCACAATTTCACAGATGACGCTACGACTCTTTCTGAAGTCGTTTCCCTCGACGACCCCATTTTAGTATCGGCTATTATCAGCTGTGCCGTGACGATCGATAAATTTGCGTACGCCGATTTTTTTCGCGAACGCTCTCGTTAGTTGCAAATTAAAAAAAGAAATTTCTCGACCCTCTTTTTTCCCCTTCCTTTATTTTCAATGCCGAGTACGTTTTCCTTTTTTTTTTTTTTTTCAAGCACAACCCTTATCCGAATAATTTTTATCCCGCGTGCGACGTCAATGGCCACTATTCGTTTTTACCTGTAATTACATTTTTATTTTCAATTTTCCTACCTTCCACTCTGTAACACTTTTCTTTTCCCACCTTCCTCACGCCGTTATCCATACGCCGAGGTGTAAAGACGATTTTTACGTGACTTTATCGCCGACCGTAGAACAATCATACCGCGAGGTTTCCAACGAAGCGAAATAATAGAGGCTGGCAGAGCGATCGAAGGGATCATCGTTACCCATCGTTATTCACCTACCAATTCATTTTACTCCTTTTCCCTCTTCGTTTTCCCTTCTCTTATTACCCTATACGCACACTTGTCAATTATTATTCTTTGAACGCGAAAAACGTTTTTTTTCTTTTTTTTCTTTTTACACTGCTTCACCTTATACGACCATACGCACCTAATTTGAAATTCCCGCCAAACCGATAAGTCATTTACTTCACGATATACCACGCGGCATTTATATTTCTCGTAATATCACCCGCATACGTATAGACGCATTTGACTATGTATATATACACACCTCTATATCGCTCGAGCCTTATTATGAAAGTTTTGTGCAAGTCACTTTTTACATCGTAGCCGACTTTGTACACGTGCGCCTGCTCCGGCTGAATAATAAAAACAACTACCACGCCGATTCGGGACGCGATCAATAGCTCAATAACTTCAAAACGAATTGATCCTCGCTCCGAAAATGGCTACTCTCGATTCCGCGACCCTCCACCTCTTTCCAGTCCCTCACCTCACTACAATTCTCAGCTTTATGACATACACGTACCCCATATAATAGAATTCCGTGTAAAAGTTTTTATTTTTACGTCCATGTCATATTTTCATCTCTCTCTGATTCATCTTTCTTTCTCGCGGGGAAGAAGTGCCCCGCGAGGTCCGATAAAAAAAGACCCTCTACTCGCCTGCTACCAGCAATTGATAAGGAGGGAAACGTGTAGCGGCTTATATATATATATAAGTTTGTATACATATATATACAGCACTCGTAATGACTCGATATAAAATGAGAAGTATAATTTATTTTTTTTATCGCGTCATTTCCCTTCACCCCCTTCTTCTTATACCCGACTCCTTCTCTCCTGGTCGCCCCTCCACCAGCGTCCATCGCTCGTCTTCTCCTCCCTCCCTCCCACCCCCTCGGCATCCATCGTACCTATAAAAAGCGTCCGGATATAAAATGTTATATAGCCCGTCCTGAAAAGTAACGCGCCTTCGCTTTATGACCTTATTTGCGGAGACGTAAAAATTGTGAAAATCAATACGAACTTCGGATATTAAATATTCAGTCTATTGACTGGTCGGAGAAGTTGGGTGGGGCTGCCGATAGGCGCGGATTCGCCTTCTGTTCCTTCGTCTTAAGTAATTCTTCCACGAGTCTTTCCGTCTCTCTCTCTCTCTCTCTCTCTGCTCTGTTCTGGCATCCATTGGTCGTACGCAGGTCCCAACGGACTAGTCTAAACGAATAATCCAAACCATCGATCGATAGCGATGAAAAATTTTTTTGAAAAAATTTTTGAAAATTTTTTTGACAAAATTTTTGAAAAAATTTTTGGAAAAATTTTTAATTAAAAAAGTCAGATATATTTTGTCACTCGCTCGATACTTTTCCGTGTCAGCACGTATGTCTCTGGCGTTCGTGACCTTGTATAATTTTTTTCCCTTATCGTTATCATCGAATGCATTAATTCCCCTATATCCACCGGAGAATGTTAGCTCGTCCTTGCATTCGGTACGGCAGTCCGTGTCTTCGTTGGCTGTTCGACTATTAGACAATCTCTGTAACGCGACACGTGTTTCTCTGCGCGCAGGTCGTCTTATCGGCGTGCAGCACGTACTTCGACAGCATCTTATCACAGTACGAGGAGAAGGATCCGATCGTGATCATGCGTGACGTCAAATTCTCCGACATCAAGGTACTCGTCGAGTTCATGTACAAAGGAGAGATCAACATCGATCACGTGAGTACATTTAGATATACTTTTCATTATTTATTTATTTATTAACCTACATAACTTTTTACTTGCAATTTATATCGTTCGTTTATCCTGCCCTATAGCCGTTTCTCCGTTCCCTCGGCGAGTCGCTTCTATCGCGCATGCGCGCATAAATTCAAATACGTAAAATCGTAGTCGATGCGGTTCCGGCCTGAGGACGATGGAAATTGCGTTCCAGTTTCAATGAAACGAACTTTTCGATAATCCATACGTCCTTTGCGTTATGCTCGTTGGCTACCGCCTATTTCTTTGCCACGTTGTTGTTTTTTCTTTTTATCAACGAGAGAGATGGAAACAAAAAAGGAAAAAACGAAAGACACTCGATTTTCTCGAATACAATTATTTTTTTTTACTACGCTGTCCATATTTCTCCGTCACTCCGTAGTCTTCTTGTATTTGCTTCTTTATCTTTCGCTATTCTGCCTCTACCTCGCTCTCTCTCTCTCTCTCTCTCTCTCTCTCTCTCTCTCTCTCTCTC